GGTATCGGATCGGAAGTGCAAAAACCTGGATCGGGACATCTCTAGTTGGTCCCCACAAGTACCTATGAGTCCCCAAAATGTAGCATATTCCTAGGAAATTGTCCCCACCAGGTATTAAAGACAAGGCCACACACACGCAAACACACACACAGTCATCCTCCTATATATAGTGAGGACCGTGTGTCGACTCCCACGTTCATATTCAACCCTTCCTCTGCCCTAATTCTGACTTCATGCTAATCTAAACCACCAGCAGTGCGTCTCTAACCGTAATCCTAATCTAAACTCAACTCCCACCATTAGACTCTCAGAATAATAACGAGGAGAACGTCTTGGTGTGAATCCCGCTGTGGCTCAGTAGGAGCAGTAAATCTACTAGAACAGGAACCAATAGTTGGATAATTCTGCAGGGAGCAGTTGAACCCAAACCAGCTGCTGCTCTAACAGCTGGTTATGATCAGCAGCAGCAGGTGTGGAAATTCTATATCATAGCTCTATGATAGGGTGGAAACAATCAAGTTATGATTGTTTTTTTTTATGCTAAATTTTATTCTAAACTGAGAACTTCAGCAATAATTATTCAGCTTTATTGATCTCAAAATGGAGAAACTTATCTCTGCATTTAACCCCCCCCCCCCTTTAGGAGCAGTGGGCCGCCACCGTGCGGCGCCCAGGAAGCAGTGTGGAGTTAAGGGTCTTGCTCAGGGACCCAGAGTGCAGGCTGGGATTGAACCGGGTACGTCCAACCTGCTCTGACCACCTGACCAACACTCCCCATATTAATAAAAAAACACTAAAAAAACAAAAAAACAAAAAAAACACTCAACTAATTAATTTTTCTTCGTTAAATGAAAATATAAGCATTTGAAAATTTGTATTTTACTAATGGAGTTTATGAAGGCAGACAATTTTTCATTAAACAGTTGTTTTTTTTTTAAGCGAGCAATGCTAAGGGTTAGCTACTGGAACTTGGTATTAAAACCGTCTCTGTCCCCCGGGGGACACAAATGGCCCGTCCTCGTCCACCAACAAGCTTCAGCCTGATTGGTCCTCTCAACGGTATCACTAAAGGTCGCACCGTATCCATGAGAAGGACCCCTGCTTAGGGGCCTGTAGGGAGACGCCATACTTTAACGCAGCTTTTAGCGTCTCTTCTCTCTCAGGGTTCCTACAGCATAACGAAAG